CCTGGGAGGAAGAGGAGGAGGAGGAAGAAGAGGAGGAAGGCGAGGAGGCCGGTGGAGGAATCCGTATCCATGTCGGTTTGGAAAAAAGAGGATTTAAATCCCCCCGAAAAATCCTCCCCGCTTTGGACCGGGGAGCGAAGGAGAAGGAGATGATGGTTCATTCGCCGCTTAGCCAAGACAGCAGACTGAACCTTCGTTTAGGAGGAGGAAGAGAGAGGGAGGGAAGGAAGGAAGGAGGGAGGGAGGGAAAGAAAGACAAGAAAGAAAGAAAAAGAAACTAGGTCCCAGCATCCCTTTTGCCCTAAAGCATGCCTCTCTCTCTCTCTCTCTCTCTCCCTCCCCTGGAGACCCCCCCTCCCCATTTCCAAGGAACGCCCCCCCTCCCGCGAAATGAGAGAGGCAGGCAAAGGGGTGGGGGGGCTTGGAGAAGGGCCAGGGAGGCAGGGGGGGGGGGCGGAGGGTCCACAGGCAGCCAAGATGGAGATGCTGCAGCCAGCCAGCCTACAGAAGAGGAGGAGGAAGAGGAAGAGGAAGAGGAGGAGGAGGAGGAGGCCAAAGGACCGGCCATCATTGTCTCCCCCTCCCCAACCGCTCCTCCTCATCCAGCCGTCTCTGACCACAGAGTCAGCCTCCATCTTCCAGAGGCTGCCATCCTCGCAGGAAGCTCCTTGAAGACTGGCAGGGCCAGCCCGGGGGGGGGGGGGGCGTCACCCTGGAGGTCATCCAGTCCAGCCCCCCACTCAGTTATGGAATCAGCCACCCTCTGAAAAAGATGCTGGGGTCCTTACCAACCACTGATTGGGGAGGATTTTTTCTTCATTTTATGCCAAATCCAATTTAATGCAAGATTTCTACAATTATTATTATTATTTTTAAAGGATTGTGCCCTCTCCACATTCTCTCGCCCCCTCAACCTTCTTAAATCCGCCCCTCCCTCGAATATTGTCTTGGCTTCCTTAAGGAACGAGGGCCGAGATTCCAGCTGAAGTCTTTTTTTAAAAAAATCAGCTAAGTTTCTAGTCCCTGTCCCCACCACCCCGTCCCCCCCCACGGCTGCTTTACCGCACGGTGGTTTAAGTTTTCCAAACCGAGCCCTGGTTTTCAGCCACAGCTGCCGTGTTGGAGAGAACATGTTGGCTTGCGCAGCAGGCAAAATTTCCCTATTTAATGGAAATTCAAGCCATGCTGGCTGTTCTACCTGCAATGCTTGAAATCTCGTGGCTGCTTGAGCAAAAACTGAGAGAATTCTGCAATTTGCACATTGTGTGAGAGAGAGATCGGTCTTTCTATCCGTCTGTATGCATGGACAGACAGAGATGATATAGATTAGATAAAGTACACATCAACTATACCGATATAGATGATAGAAGTGTGAGAGGGAGAGGTAGATTGATAGATGATATATATAGATATGACTTTCAAGAAGAGATTGGACTGCCATTGGCCAGGAATGGTGTAGGGTCTCCTGCTTGGGTAGGGGGTTGGACTAGATGTCCCACAAGGTCCCTTCCAACTCTGGTTATCTGTTAAATGGCTAGGTAGGAGTGCCCAGAGTTCTTGGATACAAGATGGGAAGCAAATAAATTTCACTAATAAATAAAACAGAAGCCTTGGATCATGGAAGGATCCAGGCTGACCGCTCGGGGCAAGATTGCAGGTGTGCACACACACACTTTGGAAAATCCAGGGGAAAAAAAATATCTTCCAAGCAAAACCACCAATTTGGAGCCCACGAGAAAAAGCTATTTTGGCCTTCGCTGGACGGGAACTTTAACAAAAAAAAAAAAAGGATTTTCTCCATCGTCTTGAGATTCTTCCAAGTAAAACTTCTTTTTCTGTTGTTTTTTCCTCCTTTTTTTCCAGGCAGAATTTTAAGATGGATTTCTTTCTTTTTCCTTTTTTCTTTTGGTCCTGCTTCAAAAATGATGACTGATTTTAAACTGAAATAAAATTCGTAAAAATAATAATAATAATTACTGACTTCATCCACGCCTGTTTCGGGGTTATATAAAAAATGATTTCAGGATTATTAATGTCAGCTGAGGCCTGAGGTTAAATTAAAATCTAGGAAAGGTTTAAGTGAAATCTTTTTCTGCCAGCATTTCTGGGCCTCAAAACTTCAAACGGCTCTGAATCCCAGAAACCAAGAGTATGTCGTTGAAACATTTTCAAGTTTCTAGTCCACAAGGCTGCCGATGCCCCGCTTAGGAATTACACCCACCAAAATCCAAATGTACGTAAAAGCCAGGATGTCAATTAAATGAAATGTACAGTTCTTTCAGGCCCTGGTCACGTGCAACATGCACACACACAAATTATTCCAGAATTTTGATGTTGAAAAGTGTTTTAGTACTAGTAAATTTATTTATTATTATTATTTTTTTTAGATTTCTGGGCCGATTCTTTGAATCGAAGTCGTTAAAAACCATCAAAAACCATCAACCCTTTGTGGGCCACATAAAGACGTAGAAAGCGAACCAAATGAAGGCTAGGGCCGTTTCATCGAATAAATCAATTTATTTAAAAGAATATGTTACAATTAGTTGTACTAATTGATTCTTACCAAACAATTTTTTTTTGTTTTGTTTTAGAGTAGTTAGCTCTAAAGATGAAGAATGCCCTGGGCTCTCCCCCCCCCCGCCCTCCTCCCCACCAAAAAAAATTTCTCCAAGCCCTTTCTCCCTTCTTCTTCGCCAAGATAGTCCTTCTTCACACCCCGAAATCACAGACAAAAAAAATAAAATAATAACAAGGAATATGCAGTGAAAAATTACAATTAGAAGTCTGTCAAATAAATTAAAACAGTGAGAGAGACGCACACGGAGAGCACCAGAGAACCCAGGGCTTAAAGATATACATATATATATATATATATATCTTTATTTATATATACTTTTTGACCCGAACCAAGGAGATTTGTAAAAGAATAAAGAAAAGGAAATTTGAGGGAGACGGAGACGGATTTTTTTTTTCAGCCTATAATGTTTTTGGAGAGGAGGCTGGGATGTTAAAAACAAACTCACAACTCCTGGTAACACAAAGGAAGAACCGAACTTTTTAAAAAAAAGAAACAGTGAAAAAACACCAGCGGGTTCTTCTTTGCTAACGAAATGCTGTGGTTTTAAATTGTTGCATCCTTAAAGAGAAACGGAGAAGGGGACACAGGCACACAAACGCGCACGCAGACAGACACAAAAGCCGTTCGATTTGCTCAGAAAGGGAGGAAGGTTTTGCAACGCTAAACTGGCATTCGTGGTTGCGGGAAACCAAGCCGAGACACGATTGGGATGGAGAAACAAATTGCTCCCCGATTGTTACTGAGGGTTGCTGGTCCTTCCTGCCCCCCAAACCCCCTCCTCACATGCGAGTCCCTTCGGACCCCTCCCATCTCCTGGGGCACCCAAGGGGGCACCCTGGCCGGGCGGTTGTGAATCAGACCAGCTTTCCTGAACCGACCCCCGAAGGCATCGTCCTCAAATCCCCCGTTAAGAATGGAGAAGGAGGGGGAGGGGTGTTTTTTTTGGGGGGGGGGGTCTTTGGCACTCTCCAAGATATATGACTTCCAATGGAAGACCCTCCGTCTACTAGCGCGGCCCAATGTGGGATGCGCGCGGCCAAATTTGCACTCTGCGCAGCCCGATTGGCGCTTCAAGAAACGAGGAGGCCCACGCTCTCCGCTTTTTTACGGTTGCTTGGGCTAAAGCAAGGGGCTAGTCCTTAAGGAGATGTGCCCTCCCAGGACATCCTAAGCACTGATAAAACGTCCAGTAGGGATCCGGGAACGATTGCACGCTTTTTAGCGCAATCAGAAGCATCTCTCGCCATCAGGGGCACACGGCTATCATTACTTTCTTGGCACCATGAGGACTGGCGGGCGCCTTATTTTACCATCCCAGCCACTAAAATAGTCCCCAAATAGTCATGTTTTGGTTTTTTTTTTCCTAATTATGTGACTAGGCCCGCTCTGGTTTCTCGCTCCTTGCAACCTGATGTGTCTGCAGGGATGTTTTTGCGGTTAGCAACTGGCAACCCGGGGACAAGGGAGGCCTCAGCTCCCGCACGACGAATGAGCAAAAAAGGCTTTTGGCAGGGGGGAAAAAATTTTTTTTAATTTCCCAGGCACAGAGACAAACTCTGCCCCATCTCAACGCCTTGTAAGCCGCTTGCAATTTCTACTTTCGGATTCCTGGAAAGGGAAAAAACTAAATGACTTCTTCTTTCTTCAGCCAAACGGAACAAATGCCAAGCTAGGAAACGGAGGAAGCTGTAAACGCCACAAGGGGAAAGGAGAAGCGACATGCAGAGAAGCCGGATTCTGCAAAGGCTTTAAGAGGATTTTTTTCCCTCCGCTGCTGTATATGTGTGTGTGTGTGTATGTATATATATATATATATGTATATATATATATATGTAAAATCCAAAGGTTGGGCGAGAAAGGCTCCCTCTTTTTCCCAACCACCTCCCAAAGTTTCAACTTCAACTTGTCTTAAGCTGCCAATGAAAATTCCTTGCAAGAAAGGCTGCAAAGTCTGGTTTTAAACAGGGGTTCAAATCGTGTCTTCAGGCCTCCCCGGGAGGGAGCTGTGATGTGGCACACAAAAAGGGAAGCGCTGATCGGAAAGTCCCACTAATGTTAACAGCCTCGATAGGAAAAAAAAAAATTATATATATATATACATATATGTGTGTATATATGTATATGGACGTGATAAGTTTGTCTCTCTCTATATATATATTTGGGTTTTTTGTTTTTTTTTACATACATACATATATATTTCAGACAGTGCAAATGGATGTCAGGGTTGTTAAAAGAAAAACAGGGAGAGGCTGGAAATGTTCGACGCTGTCTGTCTTTCAACGACAGGGGACTCAGAAAATGTCTACCCCCCCCCAAAAAAAATGAAAAAATGCTGGAAACAAGAAACCAGGTGCCCCCCCACCTGCACCCCCCCTCCCCCCCTCCCTCCCCTCCCTCCCTCGCTTAACAGGACATTCACGAATGGAATTAATATGAGTTTAATACAGTAAACCGTTCCCCTCTTTCTCAAACCTCTTTTCTTTTCTCCTCGTTTTTGAAAAGTGTTAATTTTTTGTGTTTTTGTTTTCCAGGAAGGGTTTTGGGGTTGGGGGGGGAAAAGGGGGGCGGGGGATAATACGCTTTTCGGTCGGCCGGTCGGTTGTCCGAAGCGGAGTCAAGTCGTGATGTCCCGTTGCTCTGTCCGCATTAACTGGAAGATGTTCTGGAAGAGGAAAAAGGAGGAGGAGGAGAAGGAGGGAATGAAGGAAAGAGGCTGAAAACGAGGGTGTGTGTGTGCGTGTGTGTGGGGAAGGATTTACTCTGAGACAGTTTGGTCCGGGGGTTTAAGGCGCCGGAGTAGAAACCGGGAGACGGGGAGTTCTGGTCCCAAAACTTAGGTATGAAAGCCGGCTGGGCGACTTTAAGCCGATCGCCAGGAGACGGGGGAGTTCTAGTCCGGATTTCAGCATGGAAGCTAACTGGAGGGCTTTGGGCCAAACCCCAGGAGACGGAGAGTTCTAGTTTCGCCTCAGCCATGAAAGCCGGCCGGGGGACTTTGGGACAGGGAGTTCGAGTCCTGCCTTAGGCACAAAAACTGTCTGGGTGACTTTGGGCCGGGGAAACGGGGAGTTCTAGTCCTGCCTCAAGGCACAAAACCTGGCTGGGTGACTTTGGGCCGGGGAAACGGGGAGTTCTAGTCCTGCCTCAAGGCATGAAAGCCCAGCTGGGCGACTTTGGCCTGGCCCGCCTCGCAGGGTGGCCGTTGTGGTCTCTTCGCCGCCCTGAGTTATTGATAAAAATAACAACGGCGGGCTAGAAATAAAATTTAAAATAAAAAAAGCTTCTCACCTTGCTACACAAGCTGTCTTTGCTGCAGTTCTTGTTGTCCTTGTCGGTGGCTTCCTCTTCCACCTTTCAAAGGAAGGTTACGGATGAGCGGCTTGAGGCGGGCCAGGCGCGGGGCGTTCTAGCGCCAAGGGCCCAGAGGGCTCTGGTCTTCCGCGGGGAAGCCTCGCCCGGCTTCTAGGGAGGGAGGGAGGGGAGAGCCCCCCCCCCACTGGGTGACACCGGCCCTCCCCAGCCCCTCCTGGCCCTCCCCACCTTCACCTCCTTCCGCCACTTCAGTTCGCAGAAAATGCGCTCGAAACACTCGTGCATGTAGTTGAACTGCAGGGAGAGGAAAAAGCCAAATTCAGGGTCCCTGGGGCTTTAACCCAGCGCCTTCCTCTTCCTCTGCCCACCCCCCAGTGCCCCCCGCCCGTCCCGGGCTCTCTGCTTACGTAAGGGGTGAAGATTTTGACCCATCTTGGCTTCTTCTCTCCCCGCGCGTATTCGAAGCAGAAGGCCATCCCTTCTTCGTCCGTGTCCCATCGCTGCATCTCGTCCCATTCGAAAGCGATGACTTGATTCTGGAAGGATCCCGGCGGGATCAGGAGGGTCGGATCCGGAAGGGGGGGGGCACCCCCACCACCACCCCAGGGGATCCAGAGGTGGGGAACGCGGGAGGCCTCGGAAGGGTTAAGCGTGTCTGCTGCCCCGGGGCTTCCCAAAGCGGCGAAGCGGTGTGGACGCCAACTCCCAGAATTCCCCAGGGCCAGCATGGGGAATTCTGGGAGTTGGGAGTCCACTAGAGGAAAGTTAATCCACATTGTGGGTGTCAAACCCGCCCCCCTCCCCGCCCAGCCCAACTCAGCATGTACACACCTAAACTCCTTTTCCCAAACTCCCATTCGGAGTAACAGAATAAGAGGGTCAATTGGAGGTCCTCTAGTCCAACCCCTTGCTCAAACAAACGGCTGCCCAATCTCCTCTTGGAAGCCTCCAGTCATGGGAGCACCCATGACTTCTGGGGGGGGGGGGGGGGGTCCTTCCGCTGGTTAATGGTCCCGATTTCGCCTTAATTCCGGGTTCCTTTTCTCTCTGATTGGTGCCAACTTAATCTTTTGTTGTGGTCCGCTGGCAGCCTGCAGAGACCGCAGCAGAGTCGGACAGTGGGGGAGGAAGATGGGCAACTCCGGGAGTCGGGGGAGGACTCGGGTCCAGCGTCCGATGCAGACACGGGCCCAGGGCCATTTGGGAGTGGTGTGCCAACTCCGGAGCCTCCAGAACCGGACAGCAGCGAGGCAGAGGAACAGAGGGAGCCCGTTCCCAGTGTGCGCATGCACAGAGCTGCCAGAAGGCAAGAACCATTAAAGACAAAAGGGGCGACTCGGGAGTGAGGCTGGGAGGTGATTGGCCCCTCCCTTAAGACATCCAAAGGAGGAGCAAAGGGACAGGAGCCTTTGCAGGAAGCAACGTTGCTCGTTCTGGTTGGTTGGAAACCTGAAGCTCCGGGTTGAATTTGCGTTCCGGTGTTGGCTTCGCTTAACTCATTGGGACGTTGAGTCGTTGGCAGCCTTTCAAGGGAGATAAATGTGCGTGCTTATCAGATTTATCCCAAGGGATTTTGGCAGGCTCCCGTGGGACTGTTTACAAACTGCGCGAGACTCGTGACGGGCTGTGAATGGCTAAAATTCACAGCCGTGGAAATCAAGAACAAAAAAGGTTTGGGGACTAGTGTGTGTTTGTGAGCCTTGGTGTGTGTTTGTGAGTGTCTCCATAAGCCTTGGTCAGAACAAACTGCCCCCCAAAGATTTCCCACCACAAACGTGAGATGTTACAACGTGAACCCTTTGGCGATGCCATGAATATTTTTTTCTCTCCGCTCTTTTCCTACTCTCTTCTCCTCCTCATCTCTCGGGGGTGGGAGCTTCATCGCCCTGCCCAGACAGACCTGGAGGGTTGGGAGGGGGAAATAGGTGAGGACCCCACCCCTCACCCCCACCCCAGCCCCAGAGCTGACCTCGAGCTGCCCCTCCTCGGTGCAAGCGTGGAGCTTAAAGTGCTGGATGCTGATGGCTGTGATGACGTGGCCCTTCCGGCGAGAGTCGCAGGAGCAGTGAGGGAAGACGATCTCGTTGTAGCCCTCGCATGTCCGCAACATGTTCAAGTACTGCGGGAGAGAAACGTGGGGACAGGGGTGGGGGTGAAAGATTTGGAGGAAGGGGTCTCCCCGCCCACCCAGGCTGTCAAATCATAAACTGTTTCTACGGTCGGGGAGTACTTTCCCCGAGAGTCGTGGAGGGGCCGCTTGGAGGTTGATAGGTGCCCTGAGGGTAACCTGAACCCTTTAACCAGGGGGGACCTCCAAGCGGCCTCGACGACACTCAGAGAGAGCGCTAATGACCAGAGGAACTGCAAGGAATAGAAATCCAGCATTCCAGCATTCCATCAGAACCTGAGGAAGCCTCCTGGATGAGGAGCGAGACCTCTTCAAAGAAAAACAAAAAAGCCCAGTGGCCTTTTGAAAGACAGAACCTTTGGGACAAACTATGACCTGGGTGACCCAGAATCTCCAGAGACGCTTCCCGCCGGAAGCGGAGAACATTTTACCATAACCATCTTCCTCTGTTCTCCAAGCTTCTGCAGCTGGTAGGACTTCTCCTCGGCTTTGATGTAGCCTTTCTTCACATCATCGACTGCCTGGGTGGGAAAAAAACATGGGATCAAGGGACAATTCCCCACCACCACCACCGAAAAGGAGGGAAGGGTTTCTGCTGTTCTACAATCCCTCCTCCGTAAGTGGGTCTAGTCCTCATGGCGGGAGGTGGCCGATCGAGTCAGAGCTGAAGAGGGACGAAGGAAATAACGCTAAAAGGAAGGAGAGGATCCCCTTGAATTTTCTTCTGGTCGGTGGTGGGGGTAGGAAGATCCGTTTCTGCTCCTTCCCCTCCCCCCCTTCTTGATCTCATGGGGAGGGATCACTCGATCCCCCTTTGAATCTCGGAGCAGAGTAAGCTTCTATGCTCCGCCGCGGTCGCTCAAGAGGGTCCCCGTTGGACCGAGGGAGGTTGACGCTCTCCGCTCCCTCGCTCTTCTGCTCCTCGCGCCCTCCTGCCCTGGTCCCTGAACGAGACACCCCTAGGCTTCACCCAGAGAGGACACCCTACCCGACCCCGCCTCGTGGGGGGTGGGGAGGGGAGGAGCTGAGGGTCACCTGAAGGGGGTCCCACCTGGTGGAAGAAGTAGGTGACGGCCAAATCGTTATCGTTCAGGAGAACCTCTTCCTCGGTCGTGAACAGCCACTTCCTGATCGTCAGGCAGGTTCCCGGCACGGCTGAGGTGTAATTCTGCACGTAGAGCTTGTGGGGGAACTCGTTGGGTGCCAGTTTCCTCACTGGGGAAGGGAAACCGAAGAGAAATGGGGGTTGGAAGAGGGGAGTCCCCCCCCACCGACAACAGAAGACATGAATGATTGATTCGTATGTTAGAATTTCATCCTGTTACTTTAGAAATATCTCAGTATTCCTTCTCCCCCAGGACAACAACCCTGTGAGGAGGGCTGGGCCGAGGGTGAGGACTGGCTCGAAGGCACCCAGTTGGTTTCGCTGGGCTGAAGGACGCTCAGCTTCCTTACTGGGACAGCTTTCGAGAGGGGGGTGGGGGTGGGGGTGGGGCAATGGGAAGGCGGGGGCTACCATGCAAGGGATCTTTCCTTACCAAAAGAATGGTTGATCACTTCAAACAAGGCGAAGTAGTTGGCGGTGGCGCTATCCATCCCCACCTTGGAAGCGACAGCCTGGAGAGGGAGGGAGGGAGGGAGGGAGGGAGGAAATTAAAAAGCGAGGGAGGGAGAGAAAGAGGAAGGAAGGAAGGAAATGGAAGGTGGGAGGGAGGAAAAAAGGAAGGAAGGAAGAAAGGAGAAAAAGAAAGGGAAAGAGGGACGGAGGAAATCAAAGAGGGAGAGAGAGAGAGAGAAAGGAAGGGAGGGAGGGAGGAAAGAAGGAAGGAAGGAAGGAAGGAAGGAGAAAAAGAAAGGGACAGAGGAAGGAAATTAAAAAGAAAGAGGGAGAGAAAGGAAGGAGAGGGAGGGAGGAAAGAAGGGAGGGAATTAAAAAGAAAGGAGGGAGGGAGGAAGGGCATGGAGAGGCAGGCAGGGAAGGAAAAGAGGCAGGGAGGGATGAAGGAAGGATGGAAAGAAAGAGGAAGGAAGGAAGGAAGGAAGGAAGGAAGGAAGGAAGGAAGGAAGGAAGGAAGGAAGGAAAAGAAAGAAAGAAAGAAAGAAAGAAAGAAAGAAAGAAAGAAAGAAAGAAAGAAAGAAAGAAAGAAAGAAAGAAAGAAAGAAAGAAAGAAAGAGGGAGGGAATGCATTTTAAAAACCAGAACCTTTTTAGAAGCCAAAAACCCCTCCGAAGCCAAATCTTCTGTCAGGAGCTTTTCTCCTTCCCAGCGTTTGGAGAGCAAGTTCCCTCCCGCGCCCTCAATTCCTCTAAAGCCCCCCTCCCCGACCCCTGGGGGGGGTGGAATCCCCTCCTACCTGGTAGACCTGGTCGGTAGTGCTGTTCTTCTTCACCCGGATGGTCACCGTCGTGATATCGGGGAGGGCCACCCGGAGCTCCACGTCCGACACCCCATTGAAGTTCTGGGGGGAGGGGGAGGAACAGCCCGGGTGAACCAATGAGGAAGGCGAATTCCCCTTGGGGTTGGAGATGGGGGGGGGGAAAGAAAGCCCCCTTTTGGCCACCCAGATGTGGGTTGGGAGCGACAGCCCCGGAGAGAGCGCACACACACACCCCGGACCGGCTTACCTCGTCCGATTCCGAGAGGAATTCTTGCATGACGTCGCTCTCCCCGATCACCCGGATGGAGCACACTAGGGGAGGGGGCGAGAAAGCAGAGCTGTGACTGGACCAGAGGGGGGGGGGGGGGGGGGGGGGGGGGAGAAGGGGGGAGGAGAGGTTGACACCTGGGCCTTTTTTCCATACATCCAGGAGGAAAGAAGAAACAAGAATTCACTGGCTCTTCCCAATTAAGCTTCCCAGATGATTATGATTATTCTCTTTTATTCATTAAACGTGAAACTCCGTCAACTGGTCATTTAAAAAATATCACGAATGTCATTACTATTATTATTATTATTATTATTATTATTATTATTATTATTCATTAAACATGAAACTCAGTCAACTGATTATTTAAAAAATTTATCGCAAGTCATTATTATTATTTATTAGTTGTTGTTATTGTTATTATTCTCTTTTATTCATTCAACATGTAACTCAAGTCAACTGATCCTAGTGCGCTGAAGGAAGGATGCCCCGCCCCCTCCAAAGCCCCGCCCCCCCGCTCCCCGCCTACCCTTCTCTAGGTACTCCTCCAGGCCCCGTCTCCGGGCGTCCAGCTGCTGCTCCGACAGGGAGAAAGGCCATTTCCCGGGCAGGCGAGGGAAGGTAAAATTGGCAAACTCCCGTTTCAGGTTATGGTGCAAGATGGCAAACTCGCGGTAGCGTTTCGAGCACAGCTGCCGCCCGGCCATGTAAACATTGTAAACCTAGAAAAAGAGAATTTATATATCTCTATCTCTTTCTCTACTCTATCCATCCATCCATCCATTCCCTTTTACACATCTCTCTCCCTCTCTATTCTTTCTCTCTATCCCTATCCATCTCCTATCTATCTATCTATCTATCTATCTATCTATCTATCTATCTATCTATCATCTATCTATTAATCTATCATCTATCTATTAATCTATCATCTGTCTATCTATCAATCATCTATCAATCTA